CTTAGTTTCTTTAAATTAAATATCATTATATATACATATATATATATATATATATATATATATATATATATATATATATATATATATATATATATATATATATATATATATATATATATATATATTAGTTATGTACTGATAGCACTTTATTTGAAAGTCATCAGTATTAATGCTGATACCGATGAATTTTCTATTTGCTAAAATTTTATAAATATAAAACCATACTACTTTAAATCATGTAATCTTTTTCATGGAATTAATTCTGGTAAACAATTACTTACACCCAAAATCAGAACCAAACCATTATTTTAAAAGATATTAAAATAACTCAGTTTAAAAAATATACATTTTTTTAGTTTTATTTTACTTGGAAAAAAAAAATATAAAAAAAATAAATTACAATTTTGGAGGAACACTTTTTATTTCAATTTTAAAAAAAAATATATATATATATATATATATATATATATATATATATATATATATATATATATATATATATATATATATATATATATATATATATACAACTTTTACATTTTTCAACAGCCTAACTTTTACAAAACAATTTCATTACAATAGTAATTACTATAGTAATAACTTTTACGAAAAAATAACATATTTTTTTAATAACATAGATCTTGTAAACTTTTAGTTTCGCATTTATAGTACCATCATGGATAACAGAAAAAACATTTTAATAATGGCAATTATGGCAAAACGACATTCGGCCAAAACTCTGTATCTAACGCAATCGCGCCAGTACTGGCCCAAAATCACAGTGGCTTACGACTACTCGCCAGAGTTTTGGCATTTCGTTGCACGCCGCCGCGACTACTTACGATGATTTACCGTACATAAAAAGTTGCTCGAGTCACTTGCCAGAATCGCGCCAGTAATAGCCCGTGACAAATATAGTCGCAATGGCGTGCGATGTTTCGCCAGAGTTCTGGCCCGGAGTCGTATGCTGTCTGGGACACTTTGCATCTGCCGGAGTATCTCCAATTAAGGTCAAAGGGTTGCACAAGTCAGGTAAAATCAGAGAAGGTAAACGAAATTTGACAGCATTAACAACTTCCATTAAAAAAAAGGTAGCCATTTACCTTAATATATCAGAAGAAAGTTTTGAAGAACAGTCAAGTTTTAATAATAAGTATATGGAAAGAGCAAACTTGTTTGATAACATGATGGTATTGTTAACTAACAAAATTGCAGAGTCTACATCAACATCAAAAAAAGTACAACTTGCGACACTTGCTCCAACAGACTGGTCAATAAAAAAGGAAACATTGCATGTAACAAACTATATAGCTCGAACTGCACGTAAGTTAACATTAGAAAAAGGTATTTTAACCATGCCTAATCCTAAATTAGAAAAGCTCTTCCTGATGTAACAGTTCAACTGGTCAAGACCTTTTACGAAGACGATGGACATGTAAGCATAAAGAAAGGACTATGTAAGCATAAAGAAAAATGTCCACATGCAAAAACGTTTGCTCTTATGTAATTTAAAGGAATTGTTTATTGCCTTTAAAACCAAGAACCCAGAAATAAAAATAGGATTTTCAAGGTTTTGCACCTTGCAACCTAAATGGTGTATTACTGTTGGTGCCTCGGGAACACGTTCTGTATGCATCTGTGCTATTCATCAGAATTTGAAACTGCTTTTACATCCTCTTGGTGTGACATACAAAGAATTGTTACCTTATATTGTCTGTGATATAACTAATAAAGACTGTATGATGAGGAAATGTGAAAAATGCCCAGCAACTATGAATGCATTGGTTGAAAAACTTTATGATATACTTTGAAGAATGATGATGAGATTGAATTTGATCAATGGACAACAACAGATAGGTCAAACTTGACACATAATAAAGACCCAGTGTTTGAATACATTGAACTAGTATGTAGAAAACTAGAAAAACTTGCACCACATTCGTATTTAGCAAAGAGTCAAGCATTATACCTGAGATCAAGAAAGGAAGATATGAATGAGGTAACAGCATTATTTCTAGTTGATTTTTCAGAAAACTATAAATTTATAGTTCAGGATGAAGTGCAAAGCTTTCATTGGACATATTTACAATGTACACTTCATCCAGTGATTATTTATTTCACAAAAGAAGGCATTCTCAAGCACAAATCCTATTGTATTATTTCGGATGATATGATCATGATGTGAACATGGTTTATAAAATTATTGAGGTTGTTTGCAATGATATAAAAACAAATTTGCCTCAAATAAAAAATATTGCATACTTTTCAGATGGATGTGTAGGTCAATATAAGAATTGCAAAAATATGTAAAATTTATGTGTCCTAATGGTCCTCCACAGTCGTTTAAATGCCCACCAAAGGAAAGCCAATGCTGGATTCCTGATGTCCACATTATTTGCAAAGTTGAGGTACCGATAACAAAAACAGGACTTTGCTACTATTTAGCCAAAGAGGACTTAAAAAAAATTATTTTCCTAAAGAAGTAGAGATTTTTATATTTATGAGTCTATTATGTCTTATCCATTCTTTTTTTAAATATTATGTTTTGTGTACCAACGTGTAAATAATGTGAATGTAAAGCAAATATAAAATCACTAAAGTTTAGTATTTTTTTAAAAAAATTTATATACGTTTAAATTTTGTTGTAAATATCATATGAAAATGAAAAAGATAATGAAGTCACTAAACTTTTAGATTCTAATTTGATTGATTGGTAATAGGTGGGGTTATATTAAGTGTCTAATTTTAAAAATATTAAAAAATTTTGTGTCTATATCAAACATCAATAATTCCTCAAGTAAATATGAGGCCAAAACAAAATTGGTTCGAAAAGTAGGTGTTGATCTTATTTTTAAGAAAATCGAAACTAATTTTTTTTTTATATCAGTCAGATTTTTTTTATAGCTATAATTGTCAATGCCCTTTTTTCTCGGCGTTATAAAGTGTATTTTATGGATCTTAAAATAAGCTACATTCCCTTGTTTTGACATATAAAAAACTATATTTTTCGGATTTAACAGGTTTTAAACTCTTTTAAGAAAAAGTTTCAGAATTGTGGCATCGCTACGAGCACCATATTAAGGTGAAAGTAAACGGAATGATTTTCGGCACTTTTCCCCCCTCAGTTTTTAGTCAAAATTAAGGAAACTTCAAATTGCTGTAAATTATAAACGGTAAGGAATTTTATGAAAAAAAATTACAATCTTTCCTAACATATGTCTATAAACATTTGTGCCAAGTTTCAAAAATTTTGGTGATATAGGGTTCAGATTTGTGTTTTTTTGTGTTTTTTGAGAAATTTTTACCCTTTAGTTTTAAGCATTTTACTTTAGGGATCGTCCATATATTACGTAACGCAAAATTAAACTTATAGACAAAAGACATATCTCAAAAACCGTTCAAGAACTAGAGAATTTAATAGTTTGTTTTTCAAAATTGATAAACATCCTATTCAAGGTATGGTAGGTGAAAAGTGTTACACAAATAATGTTATATTTTCTAATGTTCTTAATTTATAGTTTTTTCAAAAATTTACTATAAAAGGTTGTGAGCACATTTTGTATGTATAACTTTATTATTATTTTTTATTTTTTTTTTTTACAGTTTTTGATAAATATATCTGTCATTTAATATTGTTATAGAATGTGTTTATATGTGTTATATAAAGTCATATATGTTTATAGTTGTATATATGTTTAATTTTTGTTGTTTCTATGTTTTTAAAGTGGTGTGACTTATTATATTATGTTTTATATTGAGCAATGTTTTATTTATTATGTTGAGCAAGTTTGATAACTTTGCCAGCCAAGCGGTGTACTTATAGCAGAGGTATGACTTGGCAGCATTTAGTGCCAGGCGGTGTTACTGCTTTGAAGCTAGTTTGTGTTTTCTAGCCTTTTTCTAATTATTCCGGAAACACATAATAAAGTCTTTTAATGTTTAGCGTAATGTGTATGAGAGAGTATGCAATCTTAATCTTTAAATCTAGGGTGCTTTAATGTCCTAATTTTGAAATAATTGAATAACTAATATTGAATATAAAAACAAATATACTTTATTAAAGTTTAGTAAAAAGATAAATATAGTTAACTCTAAATTGGTTTTTTAATTTTGTCTTTCATATTTTAATTTAGTTTGCTATTTTCACTGGATTTTATTGTTATGTGTTATTGTTGTGATAGACAGCTTGGCTCACCTTCCCGTTGGTGTCTATTGTTAAAAATAAATATTAGGTAGTTTCATCATTGGAATTTAATGCTTTTATTTTTTTTCTAAAAGCCAAGACAACATTTTGCTAAAAATGCAATTTATACCTTAATTTGATTTTTTTTAAGTACTGTTAATCCTTTTCTACTTCGAAACAGATTTTATAGTTACATTTTCGATAAATTTTTATATTAACTACAATTTCAAAATAGATTACTATAAATAGGTAAATCGATTTTCAGTTTTTATGTGGTGTTTTTTTTTTTTTTTTTTTGTAGTTTTGATATCATAGGCAGGGTGAATAAAAAAGAGCAATTGCTTTACTCAGCGTTTTTGGAGTAATTGCTCAAGTTTACGTGAATAAAAATTTAGAGCAATTGCTCTTTTTTCCGCCAAAGCTTTTACTCATGAGCTTTTGCTTATTTAGCGATTTATATTTAGCGATTGCTCACATATGAGAAAAGTGCGTGAATAAAAAAGCTACAACTCAAAAAACGGCGAGCAATTGCTTCTAATTTTACGAGCACCTATAATAGTTGCTTTTTTTTTTTTTTGTTAATTGGACATTTTATTATTTTACTAATATATTTTACTATTTTTTGACTATATAACTATCTACTGAAAAGCCTTATATATATATATATATATATATATATATATATATATATATATATATATATATATATATATATATATATATATATATATATATATATATATATATATATATATATATATATATATATATATATATATATATATATGTATATATATATATATATAAATCCTGACACTTTAAAAAGTTTTGACTAAGGCTTCTCAGTAGATAGTTTTCCCACATACGGAAGAACAAATTTTAAGAGCAAAACTGGCATGGGCAAACGAAAGAGGCTTTCCCTGTACAATAGGAGCTATTGATTGCACCCAAATAAGAATCGATAAACCCTATGGAGAATTTGGTGATGAGTTTATTAATAGAAAAGGCTTTGCTTCAATCAATGTACAAGTTAGTAAAATTATAAACTATTCCTCTTTCTACATTTATATATATTTATATATATATATATATATATATATATATATATATATATATATATATATATATATATAATATATATATATATATATATATATATATATATATATATATAGAAAAATATTTACTTTATTAGGTATATATATATATATATATATATATATATATATATATATATATATATATATATATATATATATATATATATATATATATATACCTAAAATATTTCTCAATGGTTCTTTTTTCAATAAACTTTTTTATATATAGGCAACTGTAAATGAAAAGGCTATATTCACCAGTGTTGATGTTAGTTGGCCCGGATCTGTTTATGACTCAAGAATATTTAAAAACTCTAATATATATTCACTATTAAAAGGTTTGGAAAATAGAGGATATCTTCTAGGAGATGCAGGGTATGGTATAACCCCATTTTTGATGACTCCATTTGAAAATGCTCAAACAGAACTTGAAAAGAATTTTAACAAAAAACATGCTAAAAACAGAGTAATTGTAGAACATGCATTTGGTCAATTAAAGACGCTTTTCCGATTATATATATATATATATATATATATATATATATATATATATATATATATATATATATATATATATATATATATATATATATATAATCTTTCCCAAAGATTTTACATATATACATATATATATATATATATATATATATATATATATATATATATATATATATATATATATATATATATATATATACACATGTATATGTTAATTTTTTTTTTCCTGATAAATAAATCGAGAGTAATTTTTATACCACTACTTTAATGTAATCTAACTGTGGTGTAATAATTTTATAGGTAAGAATTAAGCCAGAGATGATAGCTACATGTATCACTGCATGCTTTATACTGCACAATATTGCAAAAACTTTAAATGATCCAGATTTTGAGGATGAAGATGTCGAAGAAATTGTTCCTGTAATTGAAGAAGGAAACGAACAGCAACTTCGTTTACTTGGTCAGCAGCGTAGAAATGAAATTGCTTTGGCAATATTAAATTAAGAGACTTATGTAGAGAGAATTATGTAATTAACATCTTTTTTGTTATCAACTTTGTAATATGAAAATTTTAAAAGTGCAATGTCTTTTTATTTGTAACAAATTGAAAACAACATACATAATTTTTATTTTATTGTATTGTTTATATTATTAAAAATATACTTTCTAAGTTTTTTTAGATAAATAACTATTTTGAAGAATTTTTAAGATGTGCTAACATAACATTTTTAAGTTTTATTTGCAGTAAAATAAACAAAAGTTTCTCAAATGTCAGTTATAATATGTTTATGACTTAATAACTTATTTGATAATACTTTTATGCAGTAAATGTTCATTATTAGGATTTTATTAAAATATGCATTATTTGGCAATACATTTTTATTATGCTATAAATTTTAGAAATATTTTTAAACAGATTATAACTGACATTTAAGAAATAAAATGAAACATAAAAACTAACTGGAAATAAAACATAAAGAAGTGACATTTTAAAATAGATTTTAGTTGCTGTGAAATGTATAAAGATACTTTAATTAATTTAAATTAATTCATCCTTTTTATTACAATGTATAACATTTTAAAATGTTGAAAATGTAATGCATGGTAAAAAAATTAATTTAAGTAAATTAAAAAAATTAATTTAAGTAAATTTAAAACTTTTGTACATTTAACAGTAACCAAAATTTATTTTCACGTTTTTATGTTTTATTTCCATCAACGTTAATGTCAACAACAATATCTATCTCCTCTTCATTTATATGTGGGGAGTAGTATATTTCAACTTTAAACTTTTCAACTGATAGTATTTTAGCTGCTCCAGCATGACCACACGCTGAAGCTCTGTATTTGTCCATTTTATAGTTTCTTTAGTTTCACCAGGTAGTTTTAATCTTTTTGGAATTAACCTCGATGCTTGAGAAGATGTGTTCCCTGAGGAAAAAAAATCAATTTTGTTAGATTAAAATCTCCAAGATATTGATAGTTTTACATAAAATATAAAAAGAATAAAATTATATTGGAAACAGGTGTCCTGCAAATATACTCTATTAAAGAATAAAAAACCACAATAGTAACTTACTGAAACTACTTTTAACATTACCAGAAAATTCAACTGATGGTGACAATGAAAATATAGTTTGACTTTTTGATGTGTTGCTGAATACAGAATTTGTTTCAGCAACACTTGAAGTGGGAGTTTGATTTATGCCTGCAGATATTGCCCCTAAGCATATTATATATATATATATATATATATATATATATATATATATATATATATATATATATATATATATATATATATATATATATATATATATATATATATATATATATATATATATATATATATATATATATATATATATATATATATATATATATATATATATATATATATATATATATATATATATGTATACATATATATATATAAAATATATGTATTTATATAAATATATATATATATATATAATAATAATAATAATAATAATAATAATATGTACGTATATAAATAAAGTTGTCTTTACTAACCATCAATTTGTGTGAAGGTAGGATTCTTTTCTGTACCTAAAAGATTAGCAAGTTTGACTTCACTCGCTGAAAGTTTTATAAGCTTGTTTCCAGTTCGATGGATGTCAGACTTTTTTTTTTAACCTTGTCTTCATGTTGGCAATCTTTTTCGCCAATGTTTTTGTATCAATTTTTGTTTTTGTTGCTTGGAACATTTGGTCTTGCATTTTTAAAAATGCTTTGTTTTTCTTTATTTTAACGTTTGGAACTTGGTTTTTTTGTAGAAGTATTGGCAATTCGCACAGTATGTTTATAAAAACTTCATCTTCACATTTGTTAAAACTTTGGCTAGCTATATTATTTTCACTTGATTCAAATGAAATCTGGTTTGAAAAAGCCATTTTTAAATATTAAAAATTAAAAAAGCTTATATCCGCAACGGCATATAGCTTTTACTCCGACACAAAAGCAATTGCTTGCGAACATTAGCAAAACTTTATTCACATATTTTTGAGCAATTGCTATTACGGCGAGCATTTGCTTTTAGCTTTTACTTTTAGTCAGAGCAATTGCTCATTTTTATTCATCCGGCCCACTGATCTCTACAAGAACTGGATAGCGTTATTATAGAGATCAGTGATCCGGCCATAATTCCATACTTTTTTATTTTAGATTTACGTTATGACGCATTTATAAGATTTATAAAAAAAAAAACTGATTTCCTTTTATTGCAAATTTTTGTTAGTTAAAAAGATATAAATATATGCAATTAGTTAAATTTTTTTTATATTTTGTCTATTTTATGCCTAATAATTTGTTGTACGTATTTTTAGAGATCTTTGTAAACGGGGGATCGTAACTAAAAATCTTTGAAAACATGGAGAGTATTGTAGTTTGGCGCATTTGTCAAATATCGAGTTACTTAAGTTTTATTTATGCGTTTAACTAATTATTTAGCTTAGTCTGCATTTGCAACACTTTTGAGGAAAGCAAGAAGACATTCATATATATGTAAATCATCGTTTTACATTTTATTATTTTGGTTAAAGGTCTTCATCAAAAACTTAATTACTCTTATTAAAAAAAACTCTACTCACCAGGTTACCATTAAAGCAAAAAGAGGGAAGGAGCCTCTTTATTAGTGTCAAAATATTTATGAAAATTGAATTTCGAGTAACAAAAGGAATTTTTAGTAAATGGTAGCAAATTACCGTTTACTAAAAATTAATGAAATAAAGAGGCCAAACAAATAATATATAAATGGTCTGAGTTGAGCAGACTTAACAAGACCCGGTCAGCTTGGTTTACAAATTTTTGTCTACTTATCTGTTAAAAATTTAGGTTTGTCATATGACGCATTAATGCAATATAAAAAATCAGAGTTTACATATTTTTTTTAATTTGTTATACAAATATTTCATTGTAAATTAATTTTTTTTTGTTTGAAACGTATTTGTACTTAGTTGCTTAGTTATTTATAATAAACTTAATTTTTAATAAATCTATTTAGTTGTGTGCATTTAACGTTTTAAGTTAACAATATTCTTTTCTAAAGAAAAATTAATCAAGGGGATACCAAAAAATTGATAACTCCTGTATAATATAAGTTAACTTCATCTTAACCTTATTAGTTCATGTTATAAAAATTATTACAAAGATTTAGTTGATACATTCGTCAATTTAAAGCATAATGAAGTGTTATTATTTTGTGTAGATTGCTTTTAATACCACGTCAATAATACCAATAAAAGGTTTATAATGGCATTTTTGAAAATGGTGCGATTCCTTTGATAAGCAAACCGACAAGAATTACTCAATCAAGTGCCTCTTTAATTGATGTATTTTAACCACTAATGTTTTTAACGAATCCTTAAAAAAGGGCATAATTAAAAATGACATTTCTGATCATTTATCTATTTTTTTTTTTCTATAAATATAGATAATAAATTACTTCCTAATGAAAAACGAATTTTAAAAAAGCACATATTTGCAAATGAAAACCTTAAATCTTTTAAAGAACAATTATCTCTAATTGATTGGAGTATTTTTAACACAGCTGATGATACAAACTTAGCTTATAACTCCTTTTTTAAAACTTTCTACGATATTTACGACACTAATTTCCCTGAAGTTAATTTGAATCTCAAACCTAAAAGTATTAAATCGCCTTAAGTATTAAAGGATTACAAAGGGTTTGCGGAAGTCGTTAAAAATTAAACAAAAATTATACATTAATTACTTAAAATGTAAAACAAATGAAAATAAAATTATATATAAAAATTACGCTAAACGTTTTAAAAGCCTTAAGAAAAAAAACCCAAAAAAAATATTATTTAAATTTACTAGAAAATATAAATTAAATTTTAAACGCACTTGGTTTATAATAAGAGAAATTACTGGCAGCAAAAAATATACATCTCACTCTTTGCCAAACACAGTTAAACATAATAATAACTCTTTATACGATAAAGACAAATTAAGGAAGAATTTAATAAATATTTTGTATCTGTAGTTCATTTGCTGTTTTAAAAAATTTACTCTTTAAGATTTTTTCAATATCAATAAAACAGGGAATTTTTCCACAAGCTCTAAAATTAGCAAAAGTCATACCAATATTAAAAGGTGGTGACACTGAGAATATATATATACGATACCCGGTGGGAAATCGGCTAGCGAAAAGCTAGCTGTAATCGTAACGATAAAGACAGCGATTTGGCCACGAGTATTGCTAGCTTTTTTAAGTTAGCGAAAAGCTATCGATATTTGTAAAGATAAAAACAGACATTTGGTTAAGAGGACAGCCAGCTTAATAAGCTAAAGACCCACTGGCTATTGTAGCTAGCGTCATGTCGTCATAGCGTCAAGTCGTTGTCTAAAAAAATTTGATATGTAGCTATCAACCAGCTATAGATTTGTAGATATTTTATAGCTAGCTACAAAGCTACGGTATGTAGCTAGCAACACATTGCTACAAAATCGCAATGTTTAAAGTTCGATTATCCTCATAATTATAAAAGATTCAACACTAAAAATCGAGTTTTTAAAAATGTTAAAGACATTAGGAAACAATAAAATAGGAAAAAAAAATCGCTAGAAAATCGCTATAAAGCTAGCTAGTCGTTCGCTAGTCGCTAACTCATTTCCCACCGGGTATCGTCCAATTTTACTACTTTCTGTATTCTCTAAAGTTTTAAAAAGAATTTTGTACAATAAAATTTATAATCATCTTACTATAAACAATATATTATACAGCAATCAATATAGATTCCAAAAAAACAATTCTACTGAACATGCCGTTCTACAATTTACAAAAAATATATTTGACTCACTTGAAAAATCTCAATTTACTTTAAATTTTTTCATTGACTCGGCGAACTCTCGCTTTTGATACTATTGATCACAAATGTCTTTTTAAAAAGTTGGAGTGGTACAGAATTACTGGAAATATATTAGTTTGGCTAAAAAGTTACCTAAATAATCGAAAACAGTTTGTTTATGCGGATGATAACGCATCATCTAGTTTGTTAAACATTTCATGTGGAGTTTCTCAAGAATCCATATATTAGGACCTTTCCTATTTCTAATATATATTAATGATCTACCAAAAGCTTCTAACCTAATGACAATTATGTTTGCTGATGATTCTAACTTACTTCTTTCTCTTAATAACATTTTTACACTTTTTAGCAACATGAACATTAAAGTAGTCAAAACTTCGGAATGGTTCAGATTAAACAAACTATCATCAAATATTGATAAAACTAAATGGATTCTTTTTCATCCTTATTGTAAAAAGCACCGGTTGCCAACAACTCACAGTTTCTTTTTATTGATAGCATAATTATTAAAAGATTTCTAGTGACAAGATTTTTAGGTGTATATATTGATGAAAATTAACATGGAAAAGCCACATTGCTAACTTGTACAGTAAAAGAGCACAGGCATTTTATACAAAATAAGAAACGTTCTTGATAAACATACCTTAATTCAATTATATTATTCGTTAATTCATTGCCATATTAACTATGCAAAAATGGCTTGGGGTAACACTTATAAAAGTAAACTTAAACCTCTCTATCGGCAACAGAAGAATGTAACATGCTTTATAAATTTCAAGGACCGTTTTGCTCACACCAAGCCTCTTTTATATGATATGAAAGCACTCAATATATATAAGTTAAATGCTTTTAATATTCTTTGTTTTATGCAGGGCTGTGGAGTCGGAGTCGGAGTCAGAGTTGCAGAGTTGCGAAGTTTCTACGGAGTCGAAGTTGCGACACGGAGTCGCTAAACAAAATCACGACTCCAACTCCAATAGTAAAACTTCTCGGTATTGCATGGCATGTACAAAACATTCAATTAACCTTAAGTTCATACTAAACCTCGAAGAAAGTTTCATAGATTTGTCAAAAAAGAAATTTTTAACTTACCGCGTAATATTTTTTAAAGAAATCAAAGAATTTTTCAAAAATTTTGCTTTGGAGTTGGAATCGGAGTTGGAGTCGGAGTCGGTATCGGAGTTGTGCTCAAAAAATTTCAACAACTGGAGTCGGAGTCGTTACTTTTTTTTACGACTCCACACCCCTGGTTTTATGTATAAATGCAAGACCCACCTATCACCCGTTTCTTTTCGTAACTTGTATTTACAAAAACATAGAAATAAATATGTTTTAAGGAACGATAACTTAATTCGACAACCATTTTCTCAAACTAATTTTGGAAAATTTTTTATTTCATTTCGCGGACCATTTTTATGGATTAGAATAGTTCTAAATACTTCTAAAGATTTTTCTCAAGAATGTAATTTTGATTCTTTTAAACGAAATCTTAAAAAAACCATTTTTTAACTGAAAATATACTAATCTACTTTAAAATTTTTGAAAATCCCTTATCTATATCAGTATATATACTAATATAGATAAAGGATTTTCAAAAAAGAATATACATTAAATAAATACATATATGTATTTGTTTAATGTATATTCTTTTTTATTTATTAATTATTTTATCAAAAAGCAGTTATTTAACATGTTTAATTTTAGTGAATTATTTAACATGTTTTTGTTTTTAAGTTTTAGAATTCTTCTGTTGTAATATTGTATGTTTATTTTAATTTTAATTTATAATATAATATTACGAACTTTACATACTTTTTTTATTAAAATTAATTTTGTAATAAAAAGAAATTGAACAAAACTATATAAATAACAAGAATAGAAAGATTGAAAAAAATATATATATAAGAAAAAGAAAATAAAAAAGAACGGATGTATGCGCTTCTGCAAATATATGTGTGTAGGCTACGTTTGGAGGTGAACCATCTTTTGGCAGTGGTTTGGCGTTTTTGTCGTTAGAAGAGTAAACGGTAATATATGTATTTGGCTCAGCGTTTTTGTTGTCAGAAGCGTAAACGGAAATTTGGTAATTTGGCTAAACACACAGCGATAACCATCGTATCTAGATACTTTTGCACAACCTTTTGAACAATCTGGAAATGTACTATATTCAGTCTGGAAATGTGATTACATTGATTATATACTGTGATATGTAGTGAATAATATATAGCGATTAATAAGATTCAGTGATTATTTTCGAAAAATTAGATTCAGTGTGCGCAAGAGATTTATCTAGAAAATTATAAACATTATTATTTGCATGAGTCAGCTGTTCGGAAGACACAGTAATTTGATTGATGAAAGCCGTTAATACCATAACAAAAAGAAAAAACCATTAAAAAAACAACAGCAACAACAAAAACGTTCTAATTTCTTCAATAGCGGTTTCTCTGTGACAAGACCTGATGGTCTTCTTTGAGTATCCGCGTTCTTTATATTTATTTTTATACTTTATTTCTTAAGGATATCTTGATTTGTTAACTTTTCTTTTTTTTTTTATTATTTGTATTTGTATCATTAATATTGTACTAATGAACAAAAACAAAAAAAGTATATTCGTTCCGAATTTACCCCTAACCAGTGATGTAGTTATCCTCTTAAAAATTGCGCAGTCTGGCTCTCATTTTTTTAAATTCATTACAATGAGGTTATCAACTATTCAATGGAGATGGCCTAATGTTACTATTCTTTTTAAAAATGGAAGTTAACTACATCTTTGAAGCTATAGGCCTCGTTAAATTTAGTACGTACAAGATACTTGAGAACATAGTGGTTGACTCGGTTATGAAACATATGATATATCTTATTTTGCCCTGTAAACTTGGATTTGTGTAGAATAAGTCATGCACTACAAATATTCTTGAAGCTTTAGATTATATCTTATACTAACTTACACTAAGTCATCAAATCGATACCATTTATTTGGACTTTGCCGAGATTTGATACAGCACCTCATCGCAGACTGATAAAAAAATTAATACAGCATAGTATCACCGGTATACTGCTAAAGTGGATTAGATTGTTAAAATGGGGCGACATGTAATGTTCTCTAACAAAACGCAACATCTTTTATAATCCAGCTTTATTAGCGAACCTGAGAAAAACCATAATGAAGCATGGTGTCATAAAATAACACCCGAATATTGTGAGTTCCTTGCGGTCTAAATACTTCAAAAAATAGAGGTTGTTCTAATTTTTTCCTATAAATAGTGGGAAGTCGGATTTCAAAGAGCGAATAGTGCAACGTCACCTTCTTTTTTATATTTTTAGTTTTTATTACAATTCTGATGAAATTCGCGCAGTTCAATTAAATATTCGTTACGCCGCCTATTCCAAAAATATTCTAATATAGTATTTTTATATTCAACACGCTTTTTTATGTCTTTATTTATAAAGGAAAGTGGGACAAGAAAGCAAACGTTTTGAAAGCCCTGAGTTATTGGAAAAGTATTAATCACGAAGCAATAATACTTTGCCAGTATGTTTATGTTATCATAATAATTCATTGCGGACATGAGTTTTTAGTTTGCAAATTGAAAAATTAAAAGTAATAAATAAAAAAAAAAATTTATAAACTTGTCATCTGGTCATGTGACCAAGGCGAAATGACTTATTATGCAATTAAGTTTTTGAAACTATCAACTACTCTAACTAAAGCAACACAAAACAAACAGGCGTCGCAAAAAAAAAAAAAAATGTTCCTCGAAAAGTTACATCCGAAGGACACCATCCTTTAAGAATAACCGAAACCAAGGTTTTTTTTTTTAAGCGCAAAAAGTAAACTTACGCGTATTAAATTGCGTTCATAATATTTTAAAAAACCAATTCGCGTTTTAAAATACAAGATCTAAATACAGTTTTGCTTTCACCCATTTTTAAGTTTTTTTCTTAATTTTTTATATGAAAAGCTATTATTTTGATAGTTTTTTAATGTTAACTTTATTCCAAAAACTAATGATTTGGAGATAAGTACTACGCCGAATTGGTTTTAATACCTTTTTTTTATAAGTCATTTTTCCAGTCAATTTCTTCAAAATTATTTATTTAAAAATTAATGGGGGGAAGGGGGGAATGCCACTGCTGCCCACCTGGTTGCTACAGGCCTGATACCACTATTAAGTAAAACTGAAAGTATTATTCTTAAAGAGCAAAATATTTGCTAAAAATTCGTACATAACAAAACCATTATTCGTTAAATATTTTATTCAAAAAATGTTTGTATCAAAAAACGAAGAAACTTTATTAACAACCTATTAAAATTAACTCGACAAAAATTTTTTGATGGAGCTTGTTTTGATAAATTTACCCGTTTTTTTCTTTACCTTTTTGAAAAATAAAAATAAAAAACGGGTAAATTAGTTCCTCAAGGTCCGACAACGTTGTTATTGTAGCTAAGCTAAATAGACAGTTACACATCCAAATGCATTTTTCCTTGAAATTTTGTCAAAAACATATTAAATAGATAAAAAGAAATAAAGTTGTTTCAGGCAACTTTAATCAAGTATTATTAGTTTTATGTATTCCATTTATTGATATTACTAAGCTGAGTGTCTTTTAATAAATAGTTTAGTATATGAGGAAGAGCTAGAATGAAAACATTATGGAAATTGTACAGATGTCCAACTTTTTTAAATTTAAGCAAGATTAGGTTTTCTTCATCAAACACTTCAAATTATTGTAAGTTTATATAATAATATGTAATGTAAACAAATAAACTAAATTCTCAAAAGTTCAGTTGCTATGAATAAAATGAATAATCTTTTAATTTTTTCTAACAACTAACAAATAACTTTCCAATTGAAGGAGGAGTAAATTTAAACTTCATCAAAAAAAGTTTAAAGGGGTTTTTTCTCAATTTTTAAAAATATTTTTATAAGACAAGAATGAAAAGAATGACAAGCTAAAACTTTTTAATTAATTTATTGATTATCTGACAGTAAGTTATTTGACTCAAGATAAGATGTGAGAATTTTGTTGATCAAAAACTCAAAGAGCTTGCTAATAACAGAAAGAAGACTGATTAGACTATAATTGGAGTGGTTAGAATGTTCACCAGAGTTTGTGAAAAATTGGCACAACAGATGCCATTTTCCACCAGGCAGGAAAAAAAGACTCGGTCAAGCACTTATTAAATAGTTTAGAGAGGATTGAAGAGTGTTTTGGAAAACACTTTTGTAAAACTATGACAGTAATGTTGTCTTGTCCACAAGTCGTAGAAGAGTTTTATCGAGATATGACTTTAGCAACAGAAGCTAAGAAGTAATTTGAATGTCTAACAATGGGATAACCTATTTAATTGGAATAGAAGGAAGAGAATAACTGTAAGATTTGAGAGTTGAATTAAAAAAAAAGTTCTTTGCAAATAGTTCTGCCTTATCCTTGAGAGAGGTAATAAGATCAGTCCCATGAATGAGAGATGGAATGTTAGACCTGCCTTTGTTAACGACACTGTTGAAGATTTTCCAAAAGTCTCCAGAGTCTAACTTCTGAGACATGATACAAGATTTAGTGAACTGAGAATAACAGAGCTTAGCATCTGACAGCATATTGATTTTTACATCAATTTCTTGCAATAATAAATATTCGTTTGTTCTCCTGAGAGTTGTTCTTTTGAAAAAGATGAAATGATTATGATTAATGATTATGATTGATGATAAATGGTTATATCTCCCTCTAGTTGCACAATAGGGAGAAAACCATGTAGTAAAATGTGGCTTAACTTTGAACCAATGAGAAGGAATAAAAGTTTCTATTCCTCCATGAATCCAGGAGGTTATGTAGGAGGCGCATTTCAGCTGAGAGGGAAATGACATCAACCCAAATCATTGCACTACTAACTACTTTAAAAAGATCATTGCATGGTCAAAACCACCTAAAGGAGAAAAAGGAGAAATTGAATAAAAGCTAGGATCAGAGACCAGACATAAATCAAGGAGTAAAGGTAAATGATTAGGGTTGTCAGGAAAACAAGTCACAGAGTTAACTATCAGAGTAAAAAATCGAGAAATGCAGAAGTTATAGGTTTTAGTGCCAGCAGGGTCAGTGATGTTAGAGCCAAGCTATTCAGTGTGATGAGCATTTAAGACACCAATAACAACAATATTAGCAGAGGGGTATAAAGAGAGAGCATTAAGAGAGGTCAAAACTTACATCTTAAAGAGTGCAGTCTTGGGAAGAAGGAGAACGATAAAGAACAAAGAGAAAGGTGATAGATAAAAGAGGTGCTAAGTGGAAGCAAAAAAAAGAATGGTCAAAGGATTCAAACCTGATTTCATGACTATTGGAGTCTTTGTAAATCAAAAGGTAGTACCCATCTACACCAAAATCAGAAGAAGGAATAGCAGAATTTAAATTATCAGGTCTGGCAGATTTTGCAAGAGGTAAGATTCTCCTAACAAAAATACATCTACACCAAAAATTTAAATATGGTTATGTTACTGTAATTAATCGTTTTTGTAATAAGATAAAAAAAAAAAAAAAAATAAAGTATATAGTAAATAAATAATAACAGCAAAAATAAATATAAAAAATATATTTTAATAATAAAATAATAAACGTAAATAAGTATAAATAAAAATAGAAATAATATAAAGATTTAAAAAAATTATATAAATATGTAGAAAAAAAGTAAAAGAAAAATATGTTATTGTAATAAAAAAAAACATGTCCCTGTAAACGCCGACTAGAAGTGTATATATATATATATATATATATATATATATATATATATATATATATATATATATATATATATATATATATATATATATATATATATATATATATATAGGCCTTGCGATGAATAAGAACTGCGCGACGCATAAGCACGACGTGATTTTTGGCGTCATTAAATTCTTTTTATTTGCTTTTCATATTTATCGACATTAACTGCACCAATTTACTTAATTACCGCAAAACTACTTTAAATCGTTTCTGTAGAAATGTTATTATTTAAAAATGTTTAGGAATGTTTCGTTTTTTTAAATGTAAAAACATTTGTTTATTTTCTCTACGTTTGTCACGTTTTGTCTATACTAAACGAATAAAAAACATTATAACTTAAATTTAAAAAAGATTATAAAAATGCTTATATTTGATTTTTTTTTTCTTAATTTATGCAATTTAAAGTTTTTCTAATAATTATTTTTTCTTTTTAAAAAGTCAGCGAGTAATAAACTGGAAATTTTAATATTGTACGATTAAAAACTGTGCAATAGCTAATATTTTTACAAGCGATTTTATATAATATTTATTTATTTATTTTTATTTATTTTCTTAAAGCGGTTGATAAGCACAATCACTCGTATTAATAAAAAACTTAAACGAACGTTTTGAATAAATTTTTAATGTTTAACAAGGAATTTTATTTCTAGTAAAATAAAATAAAATGTTAGAATAAAAATCTTATAGGTATAAAAGAAATATTTCAGCGAATTATTATTCTTAAAAATTATTATTAAAAATTATTCGAAAAACTATTGACGTTTTATTTTTCAGCAGCTGTTCTTGAGCACGCTTCGTTGAGTTTCGGTAACTTTTAACATAAAAGCGATCGTTATTATTTAAGTAATTTTTTTGAGTTACTTTTTACAAAAATTTTAATAACTGTACTTTTTTATTGAATCAAGTAGAATACGTTTTAATATTAATCTTTTTTTTTTTTTTATTTGCGCTCACCAATTTTTAAAATGTTTCCTCGAAATTACTCTTAAATACTTTAAATACGTTTAACAGTTAATAAATATTTTTAAATCTATGGAATAATTTAAAAAACCTAACAAACCCCCGTAAAATAATTATTTAAGTTTAAAATCTAAAACTAAAAGAAAGTCTTTTTGTTCAATTTTATCGACAACTTTGCTATTGCTGAATAATTTTATTAAAATGTTAGCTTAAAAGATTTAAACTTTTTTATTAATCTTAATTTTTTCTACTTGTAAATAAATGAGCATATTTAATTTCTTTTAATTCAAACTTTTATTTCAACTGCGTGTGGTTTTTAAAATACTTTATTCAATGTTAAAATAATCGTAAATTACTTCATTAAAATTCCGCTCAAAAATATCTTTAAATATACTCAAACAAAAAATTTTTTGCTCGACGCAAATAGCCCTAGCTACACGCAAAATTGCTCTTGGACGACGTAAAATTCACATCGCTCGACGCTTTATTGCAAGGCCTGTATATATATATATATATATATATATATATATATATATATATATATATATATATATATATATATATATATATATATATATATATATATATATATATATATATATATATATATGTATATATATATATATATATATATATGTATATATATATGTATATATATATCAGGCTTTCCCAGGAAAGGCGTGCGGTCGCACGCCATGTTTGTCTACGCATAGAATAAATTTTTCAGAAAATGTGACCGCGGCAATATTTCGTGGGAAAGCGGAACTTATCCACAGAGAATAAAAAATAATATTAAAAAAAGGAAACGAAGTCTAAACAAAGTATAAAATTGAAATTGGATGTAAGAAAAATATTTTGATTATAAAAAAAAAATAAATAAAAAAAAAAAAAGTCCTGAACATTTTTTTCAAAATTTCTATACTGTTTTTATTTTCTTTTTTTAGGGTTGCTATTTTCAGCTAAGAAATTTGATACAAGTCAAGGAAAAGACGACAATAAATCATAAAGTTTTCACGAAAATAAAAAGACTTGATACATAACAATTTATGTATCAAACAAATGTACATTTATGTATCAAACAAATTATGTATCATGTACAAATTATGTATCAAAGTTAGTAAACAAATTATGTATCACGAAAATAAAAAGACTTTGTATCAATTTGTATCAAATTATGTATCACGAAAATAAAAAGACAACATTTGTACATGATACATAATTTGTTTACTAACTTTATCAGACAATGTATTAAAAAACTGATTCCTTATTTACGCTAAACAAATTTGATTAAATTTTTTCATTTAATTTAGTTTTTGCGAAGGTTTATGCAAAGGCGATGACGTTATTCCCCAATACTTAGACAAGAAAATAAATTGCTGTTTTAATTATTAAATATATTATTTGAGATTTTAAAGATAACAAAATTTTAATGTGAAAATAGTTCTCTCTCGACTTATTCTAAACTGATTATACTGAGTCAATGCTCGCCTTTTATTACGTTGAAATTATTCAATTGCATAATTTTGTAATTACGAAAGAAGTTGAAAAAAATAATTGCATGCTTCTGTTGTCATTGTTACAAAAACAGTTCCTTCGGGACATTATTATATATTAACAATCGTTCACAATGTCAATTAATGATTGCAAAATAAGCTACCCAATAGTTTGACAATAAAATTTTCTTTCATTTGAAAATTGAAAAAGAACATATTTTACAAATAAATAGCAATCGTTTTCGCGCTTTCTTGCGTATCAATACATTTAAATGTATTTACGAAACATTTAATAATTAATTAAAGTTCTATCGTGAATTTAAAAAAAAGTATATCTGACTGATAAAAGTCATAAACAAATTTTACATTAAAAGGTCCTTTTATTTTCATTAAAAAACAATCTTTTTCTTTTTGATTTGATTTTTCTTATTGATTTGATTTTTTTTACTAATTTGATTTTTCATAGCTAAAATAAATACCGCCCTAAAAAACAAAAAATAAATAAATAAAGTATAGCTAAATCTTTTATTTAATATTATACATTTATTTTTAAATTTGAAAGCACAAACATATTTCTTTTATTTACTTTAAGATTGCTTGCATTTTTGCGGTATTTTCGTTTAGCTTTGTTTTGGCGCGAATTCTTGAAATGCATAATAATAAAACGTTGTCAGTTAGTCAAAAAAAATTAATTCTATGCGTGGACAAACAAGGCGTGCGACCGCAAGGCTTTTCCTGGGAAAGCCTGATAAATATATATATATATATATATATATATATATATATATATATATATATATATATATATATATATATATATATATATATATATATATATATTCACACACACATTTATAGTCATGGGTTAAAGTAGAATAGGAAATCGAATGGAATGGTGTTAAAAAGTTCAAATTGTTTGTTCAAAGGAATGTGGAATAACCCATTTGGGTGCGGAATCAGTCTTTTGAATTTTTGAAATACATAAACAAGAAATAGTTATGTTTATGAATTTGTTTTAGCAAATTCACAATTTATTGATGAATAAATTTAGTTAAAAAAAAGTATAAAAAATATTTTATTAACTTGTTGCTTTCATGTTTAGGACAGAGGCATCTCAAATTTTAGGGCTTTTTTTTGTTTCCTGGCTTCAATCATCACAATTTTTTGAAAAGCATCTTTATTTGACATAAGTGTAAATATACAAAAGTTTAAAGTTTTCTCCATGTCTAGTTAGCTAGCTTTTATGAAAAGTTAGCTATATCAAGCACAAAAAAATGTGATTTTTCTTAAATAAAATTTCGACAAATTGTTTTATTTTATTACAAGTTCTTTTAGATCATTCATAAATTACGCCAACTTAAATTTAATTGTAAGAAAAAAATAAAAAGTTTTTCTTTGCAGAGTCATAAATTTCAGCAAAATTAAAGTAACTGTTTAACTTCAATAAAAATCAAAGTGAAAATGATGTACTACTTTAATGAGATAAATTAGGCATTGCATAGTTTTAGACAATTCTATTATAAAAAATAAAAAAAACAACTCCAAAATAAGGTGGAATTGTTATAAAGAAATATTGAGCGAATCAGAAAGATTTCTTGATTTGTCAGCTAAGGAGGAACGGCGTTCTCCTGCATTCTCCCTTACTTTAACCCCTGCCTATAGTATCACTTACAGAGAAAGATTTTATAAAAAAATGAATACTTATATGGACATTAGCATTATTGGGGATATTTTTGTGTACCCATTAATTTTTTGTCCCTGTAAGCATTATTTTTTTTTGTAAAAAAAATGTCCCTGTATGCAACTTTTATAGAGAGCAAAAAGTATATATATAGACTATCAAATAGCCTGACTCGCAACAGAGTGCTGCTACATCAACTGAGGGTTTGGTTAGGGTCAGCATCAAGGTCAGGTTTAGGTTTAGTGTTACGGCAAGGTTTAAATATTTACATTACTGTCATTAATCGTTTTTGTAAATAGATGAAAAATAAAAAAAGAAATATAATATATAGTAAATAAATGAAAACAACAAAAATAAATTTAAAAAATATATTTTTATAAAATATAATAAACTTATATATGTGTAAATAAAGATAGAAATAATATGAAAGTTAAAAAAATTAAAAAAATATGATAAAAATATTAGAAAAAAGTACACTCATAGTTTACATGTCCCTGTAAACTATGAGTGTATATATATATATATATATATATATGTATATATATATATATATATATATATATATATATATATATATATATATATATATATATATATATATATATATATATATGAATTTTGTTTAGTTAAAGATGGTCTTGATGAAGAATTAGTTACTGTGCAAGAACTTGCCTTAAATTTTGCTTCAAAAGAGCTCAGTCCTTTTATGTTAAAATGGGATGATGAGGTAATATGAATAGTTAGAAAGTTTGCTAGTTTTAAAAAGATTTGAGTTTTAAAATATGTATTATTTAGTTTATCAGAATTAGTTTTGTATGTTACATGATTTACAAATATTATAATTAATAATTAACTAATTTTTTATCTTACATGATTTTATGTCTATCTTTGTGTGCACAAAACTTGTTTAATACATCTGAAATATGTTTTAAAATAATTTTATGACATTTAAAACAAGTTTTGTCCCCTCTAAATCTCTTTTTATATATCTATTTATATTAACTTATATGCACACACAAACGTGTATAATTTAAAATTCAATTTTGATTAAAAAAAAAAGTTTAGGATGGAAAACCAAAAAAACAATTGCGATAAAAATGAGCTAATTTTTTTTTAAAAATAATTCAAATTTAAATATTGAACAATATTTAGTAGTATTTTTATATAAATTTGACAGTTAAGTTAAACCCAAGCATTAACTTTAATAAATTTAAATATATTTTTAAAATCAAAATTAAATTATATATTTTTTTATCAGAATAAATTTATATATTTTTATTAAATTAGTTTTAAATTAAATCATAAATTTTTTATCAGAATTGAATTATATTATTATGATCTTTGCTTCAAGCCTAAAGTATTAGCATTTTTCATACTAGCTTTTCAACTCTCTCATTCGTAAGACGATTTCTTAGTCGCGAGTGAATAAATAGAAAGGTCGACCAAGCTCTTTCTGCTGTAGCCGATGAGCAGATCATTTTGTTAATAGGCTTAGCAATTTCATTAAGAGTAGGATATTTATCGCGACCGATAATGTTCCAATAATTTCGCGAGTTCATCTTGAATATTGTTTCCTTTCTTCTCTCAGGCAGCACAGAAATTTCTCCTATATAAGCAATCAATTCATCCTCAGCAGTGGCAGCAATTTCAGGTTTGATCTTTTTGGCGAATTCAACTGTAGCAGTGATAAAATCGGCTTTATCTTCATTCAAATATAAACCTTCTGCTGCATTTTTGGGCGTTAATATGAAAGCAATTCCAATACATGGTGTAAAGAGAAAATCAAGGCGAGATTGCACTTTTTGTTGTATGTCTTTATCGTCCATATATGAATGGTACATTTGACCAAAGTAATCATACACGAGAGACAATGGAGCTGTATCACTTTCTAGCTTTCCGATCACGTTGGAAGGAAATTCAATAATTTTGACAAGCTTAGAGAGACGGTCCCAAAATGGGTTAGATTTTATCAACACCATAACAGCAGCAGATGTATTCTTTGGTTGAATTTCCTTCAGTAATGGACTTTCTTCGTCTACCAACTTAATAAGAACGTATTTTGATAGCTGGAGACTGCTCATTAATTTATAATAACTAAACCATCGTGTAGATACAGGCATGGACAATGAAAGAGAAATATTTGCTGCAATTCGTCTTTCATCAAACTTTGCTTCCACGATGTCATGATTTTTCACATATTTGATGATTTTCTCTGCATCTTTGACTGTTTTTGTGGCCTCAATTGTAGAAACTATGTCCTTCACAAGCAAGTTGACTCCATGAGCTCCGCATCCGCTAGCCGAGATGTGTGGATATTTCTCCTCGATGATCCTCCACGCTGATTTCATTACATGAGTGTTGTCGCTTATGAAACTGGTAAATTTTTGTGAGCCAATCTTCTCAATAACTTGTAAGATTGACAGATGCGTACGATGGATTGAGCGACTTCACAAAATCCTTAAAGACCTCCGATTCCACTAAACAAAATGATATACGTACGGTAAAAGAAATTTGCAAGCTTTGTGTCGATATCATTTTTGAGCTCTTCATTAATCGGTGGATATACACGCTGCATCGGTGAATCAGACGTAGACGGAAGTTGCTGAGAGACATTGATCAGATGTGACGATTCATAATTACGCTTAGAAAACAATCTTTTTTCCTCGACACTGGCGTTTTGACATGTTGATCTTTTATGCGCTGCAAGGCGTTCCTTCGACCATTGAACAATTTTGTTACATGCTAAACAAGTGCCAGAACGCTTCCCTCGATCAAGATTTGTCAAATAATTCAAAATTTTGATGTTTTCCATTTTAAACAATTGTTATGACGAAAATACGCGATTTCTTTATTTTAAATCACTTTAATTTGTAGTAAGAAACACTTTAAAAAGTTTATATCGATTGATTATATGTAGCTCGAACAAAAAAGAAACAGACAAGTAATGAAAAACTCGTAAAAAGTAGATAGTTACCTTACGTTTTACGAGTTTTTCCAAATGTCTGAAATTATTTTATTAAATATTGTCTGAAATTAAATTTAAAAAAATAATTAATTTCAGGCATTTGATTCAGATAATTAAATTATCTGAATCAAATTAATTAATTAATCAAAGTAATTTTTTTATCATAATTTAAATTTTTCATATCCTTTAAACTGTCTTCGCAGATGTCGGCGCCGACGTCTGCGCAGATATGCGCATATTATGTCTGCGCAGATATGCGCAGATGCATTGCTGAACCCTAATATATACATATATATATATATATATATATATATATATTATATATATATATATATATATATATATATATATATATATATATATATATATATATATATATATATATATATATATATATATATATATATATATATATATGTATATATATATATATATATATATATATATATATATATATATATAAATATATATATATATATATATATATATATATATATATATATATATATATATATATATATATATATATATATATATATATATATATATATATATATATATATATATATATATATATATATATATATATATATATATATATACAGCGCTCGAAATAATGGCCGATCAATGATCAATGATCAGCTATTTTTAGGTAAATTTTGAAAAATTCAAGGGAAAATAACCTGTTTTTGTTAAAAAATTACATTTGATCGGGAAGCTTTGAAAAACTATTTCGAGCGCTGTATATATGACCATGCATACAATATTTTTTTGAAACCTGGCCATTGTTTTTTGTATATCTTGATAATTTACAAATATGCTGAAAAAACCAAACTAATTAAAAGAGAAAATTAAAAATAAACAAACCATAAACTGAAAAGAGAAACAAACTTAACAAATGATAAAATAAATAAAAGATAAACCAGAGAAAATAGAAGCATAAAACTGATATATTTTTTACTTTTGTCTCTAAATTAATGTTCAAACTTAATTTAATTTGAAAGCGTTTTAATATATAGTTTAAACCTAATTGTACAGTTTTTTTTAGTGATTTATGATTTAAAATTATGTCTTTATTTTTATTATTTTCATTTTTAATACGGTTTATTATTTCTGAAATTCTCTGTAATATATATAAAAGACAAAAAAAAAACAATAAGTTTATAGTATTTTTTTTCAAAAATAACAAAGTTATGTAAAAAGATATCTACGAAAATCTTGTACATAAGTTTAGACTGTAAGTCAAGTTAATATCAACTGCATAGCTATATATAGCATAATAAATAATCAACTGCATAGCTCATTGATTAGGAGGCTGTGCTCTATCTATGAATGAGTCAAGTTCTCATTAAACCCAAATCATGACCAAAGTAACCAAACATTTTAATCCTAAAAAACCATCCCCACCACCTAAATGTTTAAATATATCTTTTACAAATATTCACGGTCTGCGAAGCAACTTTCCGTCAGTTGAGTCTTACCTCCTGCAAAATTCACCAGACTTGCTTGCACTCCGTGAAACAAATTTAAATTCTGCAATTCCTTCTTCAGATGTCAGTGTTGATAGATACTATCCTTTGATTCGTAAAGACTTCAATCACATGCTAGGTTTAGGGGTATACATACGCATTAATTCCCCCATTTGTTGTGAAATCAGGTTTGAATCCTTTGACCATTCTTTTATGTGCTTTCGCCTAGCACCTCTTCACTCTATCACCTTTCTCTTTGTTCTTTATCGTTCTCCTTCTTCCCATGATTGCACTCTTTTAGATGTTATCTCTGATCAAATTGACCATGCCCTCTCTCTTTTCCTCTGCCAATATTGTTGTTGTTGGTGATTTTAATGCCCATCACACTGAATGGCTTGGCTCTAACACCACTGATCCTGCTGGCACTAAAGCCTTTAACTTCTGCGTTTCTCAATCTCTTACTCAGATAGTTAACTTTGTGACTCGCTTTCCTGACAACCCTAATCATTTACCTTCACTCCTTGTCTTGTCTTCACTTATGTCTTGTCTCTGACCCTAGCTTATGTTCAGTTTCTCCCTTTTCTCCCTTAGGTGGTTCTGACCATGCAATGATCTCTATAAATCTTTTTTCGGCTCACCTTATCATCGCACCACCTACTACTACCCTAAAGCTGACTGGAATTCTTTTCGTGATTTTCTTCATGATGGCCCTTGGGCTGATGTTTTTTCTCTCTCAGCTGATAAATGCACCTCCTACGTAACCTCTTGGATTCAGGCTGGAATGAAAGCTTTTATTCCTTCTTGTAGGTTTCAAGTCAAGCCTCATTTTACTCCGTGGTTTTCTCCTTCTTGTGCGGCTGCTATATCCAATCGTAATCATTTTTTTCATCTTTTTCAAAAGAGCAACTCTCTTGAGAACAAACGGCTATTTATTATTGCAAGAAATCGATGTAAAAAGGTGCTTTCTGATGCTAAACTCCATTATTCTCAGTTCACTAAATCTTGCATCTTATCACAGAAGTTAAGCTCTAAAGACTTTTGGAAAATCTTCAACAGCATTATTAACAAGGGTAGATCTAACATTCCATCTCTCATTCATGGGACTGATCTTGTTACCTCTCCCAGGGATAAGGCAGAACTGTTTGGAAAGAACTTTTCTTTTAATTCCACTCTTGAATCTTATGGACATTCTGTTCCTTCCATTCCAGTCAAACAGGTTGACCCATTGTTAGACATTCAAATCACTCCGGCTTCTGTTGCTAAAGTCATATCTCAATTAAACTCGTCTACAGCTTGTGGTCCAGACAACATTCCTGTCACAGTCTTGCAGAATTGTTCTCCAGAACTTTCTTCAATTCTCTCTAAACTATTTAACAAGTGTTTGACTGAGTCTTGTTTTCCTGCTTGTTGGAAAATGGCATGTATGGTTCCAATCTTCAAAAACTCTGGAGAAAATTCTGACCCCTCCAATTATCGTCCAATCAGTCTTCTTTCTGTTATTAGCAAGGTCTTTGAGTCTTTGATCAATAAATTCCTCACATCTCATCTTGAGTCAAATAAACTTCTGTCAGATATTCAATACGATTTTCGACCCTCTCGCTCTACGGCCGACTTGCTAACTGCTGTAGCTGAAAGATTTTATTGAGCATTAGATGGAGGCGGTGAGGCTAGAGCTATTGCTCTTGACATATCTAAAGCTTTCAACAAAGTTTGGCATGCTGGTCTTCTCCATAAGCTTGCTTCATATGGTGTTTCTGGGAAAGTTTTTGAGATTATCAAATCATTTCTTTCTAACCGGTTTATTAAAGTCATCCTTGAAGGTCAACACTCTTCTTTATTTCCAGTAACTTCCTGGGTTCCCCAAGGTTCCATCCTGGGCCCTGTTTTGTTTCTTATCTACATAAACAATCTTCCTAACAACCTTTCATCTAAAGTAGCTCTTTTTGCTGATGACTCAACTTTATACTCCTGTCTTGACAAAAAGTCTTCTCTTTTTGATCGCCTAGAACAAGCAGCTGATCTTGAATCCGATCTCACTTAATTATAGATTGGGGTTTACAGTTGCTTGTGAATTTCAACTCTAACAAAACCCAGTTTACTGCAAACAACTACTGTAATATGATCAACATTCCTATATTAATGAATGGCAATCCTCCTACTGAGTCCTCCTCTTTACGTCTTCTTGGATTATCGCTTACTATTGACCTTTCATTGAAACCATATATACAATCGATTGCTAAATTAGCTTCTGCTAAGGTTGCTTCTCTTCATCGTGCTCGCCATTTCCTTACTTCTGATTCCATTCTCTACCTCTACAAATCTCTTATTCATCCCTGTATGGAACACTGTTGTCATTTTTGGGCTGGTTCTTCTAACGATTCACTTTCTCTTCTTGACAAGGTCCAAAAATGCATTGTAAATGTTGTTGGACCTGGACTATCTGCTAAGCTCTCTGTTCTTTTTTTTCCTAGTAGCTCCCAACTTAATAGTGGTTGCTTGCAGCCTTTTTGGGAGTGAATGCAAATAAAAAAAATAAATATGGTTTGTGACTGCCTTTGTTATCTATGCTAAGTCTACATCTTCTTTTAGTAGATTCAAAAAGATTTTGACAATAATCAAAGGATAAATCATCATATAGCTCTTTTAAGCTTTTTCTTAGTTCTTCAGTTTTCGGCCTAATACAATCCATACATTTTTGAATGGATTTAAATCTGATGATCTAGCTGGCCACTGGAGTACATTGATTTTGTTTTCTTTAAACCAAGCTGTTACTTTTGTTTATTTATTAAATAATGATTAACTAATTCCAGGTAAGTCATATTTATATAAAGTTTTTTGACAAAATCAATTACTTTAGACCTATTATTGAGAAATATGGGGAAAAAACTACTAATTAACTATCGATTAACAAGATATAAGACTTTTTTGATTGTGCGTCTAAATTTATGAACAAAATAAAATCAAGCTTATCAATTAACTTTTTTGTGTTAATCGGTATAGAATGAGTAATAAACATCCTGTAAAAAAAAAAAAGGTACTCTTTAATAGAGTTTCACTTCCTCTTGTAAATTATATATCAAACATAGCGGTAGTACTTTTATTTTATTTTTATTTTGAGTATTTTCTTACATATATGAAAAAAAAATGAATGCGTCTAAATTTATGAAAGCTACTGTATATATGTATATATATATGTATATATATGTGTGTATATATATATATATATATATATATATATATATATATATATATATATATATATATATATATATATATATATATATATATATATATATATATATATATATATATATATATATATATATATATATATATATATACATATATAAGTATATTTAAATTTAGTGATTTTTCAGGAAATTTTCCCAAGAAAAACACTATCGTTAGCAGCAAAATTAGGATTTGGCGGTATTAAGTTAATAGTAATTTTTTCTTTTTTAAATTATTATAAAAAGTTAAATAGTTGTATGCTTGATTTGATAACATGTACATTTTTAAAAGGGATTCGTGTAAGTGATAAATATGGAGGCAGTAATTTATCATGTCTTGCAGCATCAGTTATTTATGAAGCTCTTTCTACTGGATGTACTAGTACTACAGCATTTCTATCTATTCATAAGTATTGTTTTATATAAATTAAATTTTTTAATTTATTTTTATTAAATTTTTATATAATCTAATTGAATATTTTAAATATTTTTATCCATTAAACAGCAAGAATTGTTAACTAAATTAGCTAGCAGCTAGCTAACAACAAAAATGAAGACAAATTTCTGTGTTTATCATAGTAATCAACAAGCGATTTGTCTTTTTTTTGGGTTTCAAAGCACATTTCAAAAACTTAATAAAATTATTACTTTTACTGTGTTATTCTTTTTAAAATTGGGGATGAGAATTCAAGTCAGTCTATATATGAACATTCTGCCTATCCCTAGTTAAATTAATTGATAGGCATTCATTCCTCAGTGCCTCCCTCAATTTAAGTCAGTTAATGGGTGTACACTCTGCTGCATGTCTGATGAATGCATATTCTTATAATATTTACTTATCATAATCATATATTGATAACCATTTTTTAAGTTTATTTAATTTTAAGTAAACTTTGAAGTAAATATAAAAAAATGTAGAGTTGCTTTAAATTATAGGAATTAATTGAATATAATATAATATAATGTAAAAAAGTAATAACTAACTTTTTTAACTGAATAAACTATAAAACGATAAATAATTTAACGATACATATTAACAAAATTTATTCATATAATGATCAATCAATATAAGATGTTAACCAGGTGGTTCATTCATATACAGTGGTTATTTCTGCTTTATTTTGGTTGAATTCCTTAATACTGGACATCTGTCTGATGTTTCTAATAGTCTATCAATTAAAACTTACTCTAATCTTTTTTTTATTTTTTTTTATTTGCATTCACTTCCAACTTAATAGTGGCTGCAAGCAACCACTATTAAGTTGGGAGTTACTAGGAAAAAAAAGAACAGATTTATAGAGCAAGGAAACGGTTGACAAAAGACTTAAAAAGTTGAAGGTTGTATGAGTCAGGAAAACAAGAAGATGGGAGAGAGTTCCATAGGATTGAAGTGCGGGGAAAAAAACTAGATGAATAAAAGTTTTTACAGCATGCAGGGACAGATACAGTAAACGAATGAGACTTAGCTGAATGACGAGTAAAACAAGAATGAATTTTAGTTGATGGAACTAGAGATGATAACTCCTTTGAGCATTGACCATGATAGTATTTGTAGAAAAGAGAAAGAGATGCAACTTTATGACGATGGGAAAGAGGCTCAAGACTCTTTTCAGTATTCCATACAGGGACAAGAAGAGATTTGTAGAGGTAGAGAATGGAATCAGAAGTAAGGAAATGGCGAGCACAATAAAGAGAAGCAACCTTAGCAGAAGCTAATTTAGCAATTGATTGTATATATGGTTTCCATGGGGTCAGTAGTAAGCAATAATCCAAGAAGACGTAAAGAGGAGGACTCAGTAAGAGGATTGCCATTCATTAATATAGGAATGTTGATCATATTATGGTAGTTGTTTGCAGTAAACAACTGGTTTTGTTAGAATTGAAATTCTCAAGCTACTAAGAACCCCAATCTATTACTGAAGTGAGATCAGATTCAAGATCAGCTGCTTGTTCTAGGCAATCGAAAAGAGACTTTTTGTCAAGACAGGAGTATAAAGTTGAGTCATCAGCAAAAAGAGCTACTTTAGATGAAAGGTTGTCAGGAAGATTGTTTATGTAGATAAGAAACAAAACAGGGCCCAGGATGGAACCTTGGGGAACCCAGGAAGTTACTGGAAATAAAGAAGAGTGTTGGCCTTCAAGGATGACTTTAATAAACCGGTTAGAAAGAAATGATTTGATAATCTCAAAAACTTTCCCAGAAACACCATATGAAGCAAGCTTATGGAGAAGACCAGCATGCCAAACTTTGTTGAAAGCTTTAGATATGTCGAGTGCAATAGCCCTAGCTTCACCGCCTTGATCTAATGCATGATAAAACCTTTCAGTTACAGCAAGTCGGCCGTAGAGTGAGAGGATTGAAAACCGTATTGATTGTCTGACAGTAGTTTATTTGACTCAAGATGAGATGTGAGGAATTTGTTGATCAAAGACTCAAAGACCTTGCTAATAACAGAAAGAAAACTAATCGGGCGATAATTGGAGGACAATAACCCCTTCTTGATCTATTAGACTGGTGTAGATGGAGATGTAAAAAATGTGAGGGTACAGCTCTAAAACTCAATTTAATGGTTCCAAGGCCGGCTGGTATTAAGATTTCCTGAACTGTGTTGTAGCTCTCAAAGAGGCTGATTTCATCAACAGCTGCAAAATATCAGAGTATTAACAATGCCATCTTGCGCATTGTCGAGGCCGCATAAGAAGCCCAATTTATAGGATTGAGAAAAAATGCATTGTTCATTGCTTAAGAAGCCGTGCTCTATCTATGAATGAGTCAAGTTCTCTTTAAACTTAAATCATGTCAAAAATAACCCAAAATATTAAACATAAAAAACTATCCCCACCACCTAACTATTATAATACATCTTTTACAAATATTCGTGGTCTGCCACGAATATTTATAAAAGATTTTAGATCCTTCCACATGGATCCTTCCATCAGTTGAATCTTACCTCTTGCAAAATTCACCAAAATTGTTTGCTTTTAGTGGGACTAATTTAAATTCTGCTATTCCTTTTTCTGATCTCAGTGTTGATAGGTACTATCTTTTGATTCACAAAGACTCCAATAGTTACATGCTTGCTTTAGGGGTATACATATGTATCAATTCACCTATTTCAGGTTGAATCCTTTGACCATTCTTTTATGTGCTTCCGCTTAGCACCTCTTCACATTCTCTTTATCATTCTCCCTCTTCCCAAGACTGCACTCTTTTTAGATGTAATTTCTGATCAAATTGACCATGTTCTCTCTCTTTACCCATCTGCCTAATGTCACTGACCCTGCTTGCACTAAAACCTATACCTTCTGCATTCCTCAGTCTCATACTTAGAAAGTTAACTTAATGCTTGTTTTTCTGACAACCTTATTCATTTAACTCCACTCCTTGTCTTATGTCTGGTTTCTGATCCTAGCTTTTGTTCAATTTCTCCTTTTTCTCCTTTAGGTGGTTTTGACCATGCAATGATCTTTTTGAAGTAGTTAGTAGTGCAATGATAGGACTCATCCTATGATTGCACTACTTACTGCTACCCTAAAGCTGACTGGGATTTTTTTCAGGATTTTCTTTGTGACAGTCCTTGGGTTGATGTCATTTCCCTCTCAGCTGAAATGCGCCTTCTACATAACCTCTTGGATTCATGCAGAAATAGAAGCTTTTATTCCTTCTTGTTGGTTTCAAGTTAAGCCTCATTTCACTACATAGTTTTCTCCCTTTTGTGCAACTAGAGGGAGATAAGTAGAGGGAGATATAATCATTTATCATCAATCATAATCGTTTATTATCAATCATAATCATCTTTTTCAAAAAAACAAATTTCTTGAAAACAAACAATTTATTATTGCAAGAAATCGATTTAAAAATCAATGTGCTGTCAGATGCTCCATTATTTTCAGTTCATTAAATCTTGTATCATGTCTCAGAAATTAGACTCTGAAGACTTTTTGAAAATCTTTAACAGTGTTGTTAACAAAGGTAGGTCTAACATTCCCTTTATTATTAATGGGACTGATCTTATTACTTATCTCAAGGATAAGGCAGAACTATTTGCAAAGAACTTTTCTTCTAATTCGAGTCTCTAATTTAACAGTCATTTTCTTCCTTCCATTCCAATTAAATAGGTTATCCCATTGTTAGACATTAAAATTACTTCAGCTTCTGTTGCTAAAGTCATATCTTGATTAAACTCCTCTATGACTTGTGGTCCAGACAACATTCCTGTCATAGTCTTACAAAAGTGTTTTCCAGAATACTCTTCAATCCTCTCTAAACTATTTAATAAGTGCTTGACCGAGTCTTGTTTTCCTGCCTGCTGAAAAATGGTTTGTTGTTTCAATTTTCAAAAACTCTGGTGATCATTTCTGACCTCTCCAATTATCGTCTAATCAGTTTTGTTTCTGTTATTAGCAAGCTCTTTGAGTCTTTGATCAACAAAATTCTCACATCCCATCTTGAGTCAAATAACTTACTGTCAGACAGTCAATATGGTTTTCGATTCTCTTGCTCTACGGCTGACTTAATAACTGCTGTGACTGAAATATTTTATTGTGCATTAGATGGAGGCTAAGGCTATTGGTCTTGACATCTAAAGCTTTTGGCAGAGTTTGGCATGTTGGTCTTCTCCATAAGCTTGTTTCATATGGTGTATCTGGGAAAGATTATGAGATTATCAAATCGTTTCTTTCTAAACGCTTTTTTAAAGTCATCCTTGAAGGCCAATACTCTTTTTTATTTCCAGTAACTTCTGGAAATAAAAAAGAGTGTTGACTTTGACTCAAGGTTCAATTCTTGGTTCTATTTTGTTTTTTGTCTACATTAATGAGCTTTCTGACAGTCTTAAACATAAAGTAGTGCTTTTTGCTGATGACTCTTCATACTCCTGTCTTGACAAAATGTCTTCTCTTTTCTATTGCTTAGAACAGGCAGCTGATCTTGATCTCACTTCTGTAACACATTGGGGCTCACAATGGCTTGTAAATTTTAACTCAAACAAAACTTAGTTATTCACTGCAAACAACTATTTTTTTCAATAAGTTTCCTTTAACAAATTTAAAATAGTTTATATCTCGTACAATAATAGCAACACGAATGTCATTTAAGAGCTTAACAGTTGTTTTTTTTAATTCTTTTTTTTATTTTAAAAAATTTAGGTAATTGTTTTTTTTAATTTATATATATATATATATATATATATATATATATATATATATATATATATATATATATATATATATGTGTGTATATATATATATATATATATATATATATATATATATATATATGTATATATATATATATATATATATATATATATATATATATATATATATATATATATATATATATATATATATATATATATATATATATATATATATATACACTATATATATATTAATAAAACTTCAATTTATACCACAAGTTAAATTACAGGAAGTCCCATGACTTAACTACTGTAATTTTTCACACATTTGTGGAATTTGCTGACACTATTATAAAATGAATTCTTTGGAAATGATTACTTATGCTTTTTTAAAAAAATATTTTTAAAAGGGGGATTTAATGTAACTATTATTTGAGCTCACTTATTTTTATAGTATTTTAGGAGAAACTTATTTTCGTGCCTGCATTTAGAAATCAATTCTGATTTTTTGTTCACTAAACATTCTTGGTTTGCATGTGTAATTATTTCAAAATTTTATTGTAAATATAGTATGCTTTTTTTGGAAATATTGTTATATGCAGGCGCTGTTTAAGGATGGATCAATTCAGTATAAAATCATCAATGCTTTTATCTTTTAATTCCCATATATATTTTGACAGCACAGTGTCTTTTGAATACTTTTTATTTTTAAAAGATTGCTTATGATTTAAAGTTAGCTACAGTTGCACAAAAAATATGAAAAGAATTATATAAGGTCACTGCAATGCTTTATTAAACAAAAAAGAAATCCAAAGTGAAAAAACTACAGAAAGTTATAATTGTAAACAAAAAAACAATTGTCCAATGAGTGGAAATTGTTTATCAAAAAATGTGGTATATAAATGTGTTGTTTTCTCTAAGAATGTACCTATTGCATAAGTGAAATTTCATATTTCATATGAAAAATTCAAATGGCGTAATGCTTATATTCTTATCAAAGCCTATGTATATTCCTATAGTTTAACATCTAAATTTATCGTTTGTGGTAAAAAATAGCTCTTGACGACTCTTTGTGTTTAAAGAAGACAAAATTAAGTTCACTTTATTTCAAAGCCATTAAATTTAAAAAGCGAAAATTAATAGACTGGATTGTTTATAAAAACATTCCATTTATTATAATAATATAATATTCCATTTATGTTTTAATTTAAAAAATTTAAACATTCTGAACGTTTCTATTTTTATTTTTTTATTGTTTACATACATTGACTACAAATAGGTAGAACATGCAAGTTGCTGTTCTACCTATTTGTAGTACTAAAATCAAAAATTTATTAAATTTGATGTTTTTTAGGTTGCATCATATTTTACTTTATATAAACAAAAATAGTAAAAAATATCTAGCATATTTAAGTTAATCGCTTTAACAAGTATTACGTTATTTGCAATAATAACATTAAAAAAGCAAAACATTCTTTATTCGTTATTATGTATTTTTACATGTCTTAAAAGTTTTTTTAATGTTCTAATTAAAAAAAAAAAAATTATTTTCAAATAAACTCAATAAGTTCAATTTACCAAAGAATTTTATTAAAATCCATATTAAAAAAATTTAAAATAAAGCAACTACCAAGAACTGTAAAGCTTTAAAGAGTCTTTAAGAAGCTATTTTAACTTTTTAGTTTTATATTTTCTATGTAGAACTTTTTTAAATTGAAATATTAACTTTAATCTATCGAGACTATTTATTATAAAAACAAAAGAACTTTTATGCAACATTTTTATAGTTGCGTATTTTATACACTAAATTAAAAAAATTAATATGTAAAATACTGCTTAGTTAAAGTGAAAATAATAGATACACACATTTTTAATAACTTAAATAAAATCAGTGGGCCAGAAATCCATATTTTTGAAAAGTCATTTTTTTTTCCTTTCATCCAGCCTCAAAATTTAGTATATAAAATTTTGTGCATAGATTGTGGCATATAGTACCAAGGATAAGCTGTTTTTAAACAGAAAGTCTCAAATTTATCAGTGTCAATGTCTAAACTACATGAAGTTGTCGCCAATATAACATGCAAATTTAGAATCACTTCAACATCAATATTTAAAATTTCTGCAAACTTTTCTGTAATTTGAAATGCTCATTAAGCCGTATTTCCATCATTTGATGTTCCACTACCAGCAGATTTTGGAACATGAACTATCAAGCCCCATCTTTAAATCTATTTTGAATTTGTTGCTTCAGATCCTTTACTTTAGATTTATCTTCTACTGTTCTTGCCTGCCACATAGTCATTTTATATCCAATATGTAATAAACATTCAAAAAAACATATCCAAGCATGTAAGGATGATAAACTAAATGAATAACTACCTGTCATGCCCTTTTTCAAAACCATTTTGTCATTATCATTGATTGCTTTGGGACTTGCCCCACATATAGTACAGCATTAACTAGAATTTGTAACATTTAAAAGAACAGTGTGAACTTTTCCATAAATTATAGTAATTTGTATTATAATGTATTTTGATTTTTTTTTGCTTATATCTACTACAGTATCTTGCAAGTTTAAAATCTCAAGCCTAATGAGATCATCTTCTGATTTAGAAACTGCTGCTGTTTTTTTTTTCAAATTTAAAACGCAGAGGTCTGCAGTACATTATTGGCGATGTTTGTGGATTTCACTAAGCTGGATACTGTTTTCCATTTGAGAAGCCACACAAGTCCGATGGCACTAGGCAAGTAATAAAAAGGGCTAACTCATTGTTTAAATTTCTTGTTACTGTTCCTTGCAATATTTGTTTATATATGGACTGTCCTGTGGCACCATCAAGCCTATTTTGTATCTAGAGGAAGTTTATCTGGATGCCTTCAGTGCTAAAGACATCATACTGTGCTTTACATATTCTGTTTGTTGTATGATAGAGTAATCTAATAATCGAGACACAGCTGACATGTGCTAAAGCTACATCAAGTTCTATGTCATTATATACACATATTAAACTATGTATTTCATGTGTCAAAACATTGGAAAACTTTGGAGCAAAATATATAATCCAATTTACTTAGTAAAAATGAATATAAATGGGTACAATTTATCATATCTTTGTTATACTTTTTTAACATTATAATTACCTGAAATATAGTGTTGTTGTAGCTCATTTTAAAGTAAAAGAATCTAAAATATATAAATTAAAGTGCAAATGTAGTTAATTCAAAAACAACTAATGTTGTTTTTGAATTAACTGCATTTGCAGTTTAATTTATATATTTAAAATTAGTTGGCTTGACAACTAATTTTAAAATTTAATTTATTATTTGGTATTTTTTTCAAACTGTGCATAATTATCTTGTATTATTGTTGATTAATGTTAATAGAATAATATGTATGTACATATCATATACATTTTTGAAAAACTTGGTAAATAAGCTTTTTAATGATGTATCATATGACTGTATCAAAAAAATTTTATAAATCACTTATTTCCACCTTCTGGCCCACTGTGAGGCAGTCTATCAATTTGAAAACAATCTTTTCAAGTTTTTAAACTTTTTCTGGTCTTTTATACTAACTTCTATATTAAAAAACAACAACGTTATGTTAACATTTTTCGGTAAAAAATTAAAGTATACTAAGCAATTAAATGGGTTGGGCAACAATAAGTTTTTTTCTTCTTTTTGCAAAAAATTTATATGAATATAGAAAATAAAGTCCGCAAATACATATCTATATATGCTATAGTATAAATATATATGAATATTTTTTTTTAATTTTAACCATTTCTTATTTACTATGTATAGACTGAGTCTATCTAAAGATATCTAGAGATACAGATTATCTAGAGATATCTAGATTATCTAGAGGTTAAAATCATACAGATCTGTATCAGCTTTATGTTTGATTCTATGAGGCTATATTTGATTCTAAATTTAGAAGATTGAGGATCTATCAACATAGTTATGACAATGACTATGTTGAATTAAGATTATACCATTTATTAGTTGTCAACTGTTATAAAAATTAATAAAAATACAATGTTAGTTTATTTTGATATACTTGATAGATTTAATATAGAAAAAAAGTTTATTTATGGTTTATTTATGAATGTTTCCCAGACATCTTTCCAAAATAAAATTCTAAAAGATGAATGCCTTAAAGTTTATTTATTTCTATTTATTATTTATTAATGATGTGGTTATTAGCAAACAAAACTTTTTTTTTTAGTATGGTAGCTGGTTTAATTGAGAATTACGGAAGTTCATTTTTAAAAGACAACTTTTTACCATCGCTTGTTTCTTGTGAGGTATTTCTTGTTATTGTTATTATTATACTTATGTTATTGTTATTATTATTATTATATTTATATGTTATACCTAATATATATATATATATATATATATATATATATATATATATATATATATATATATATATATATATATATATATATATACTAGGTTGGTTGAAAAGTTCGCGGAGCGGAAATGAAAAAACAATTTTATGATTCAAAAAATGACTTTATTCTTCAGTATATTCTCCCTTAAGAGCAATACACTTTTTCCAACGATTCTCCAATTCATGTATCCCATCTCTGAAGTGCGATTCCGGAAGGCCTTCAAAATACCCATTTACGGCTGCAATGACTTCTTCATGTGATGAGAAACGCTTTCCACGTAGAAATTTTTTGAGATGTGGAAAGAGGTGGAAGTCGGACGGAGCCAGATCTGGTGAATAGGGTGGATGTTCCAAGCGTTCGTACTTTAATTCGACCAATTTCGCCTTTGCAACATCGCTGATATGAGCAGGTGCGTTGTCCTGGTGATAAATGATTTTTTTATGCAGCAAACCAGGTCTTTTCTCACGAATTTTTTTATCCAACTGGTCCAAAAGATTTTTATAATATTCACCTGTTATCGTTTTACCGGTTTGAAGGTAATCTATTAATAAAATTCCTTTCGCATCCCAAAAAACTGATGCCATAACCTTCTTTGACGATTTTGACGCCTTCACTTGCTTCGGAGCTGAACAACCGGGTTCTGTCCACTCTGCAGTTTGTTGTCGCAGCTTCGGATCATAGTGGTAAACCCAAGTCTCATCCATGGTTACGAATCGACGCACAAAATCTGTTTTATTCTTTTGAAAACGGGCCAAATGTTCTTGAGAAAGTTTTACTCGAGTGCGTTTCTGATCCAGAGTTAGCGAATGCGGCACCCATCTTGCCAACAGCTTTCTCAGACGTAATTCATCGTGCAAGATGTGTAATACCCGTTCATCTCAGATGCCCACAGCCTCAGCAATTTCACGTTTGGTCAATCGTCTATCATCCATAACCATGTCATGCACAGCATTAAGCGTTTCTTCAGTAGTAGCACTTTTTGGACGTCCAGAGCGAGGGTCATCTTCAAGGCTTGAACGCCCACGTTGAAACTCCGCAGCCCATTTGCATACTGTTGTTTTTGAAGGAGCATCATCACCCAACACATTTACCATTTCATTATGAATTTCCATGGGCTTTAAACCTTTTTTCACAAAGAATTTTATTACAGCACGATGTTCAATATTTTCCATTTTAAAAAATACTATGACACGTCTAATTTCAATAGCTTGTAAACAAAGACTGAAATGACATATCGACTTGAAATTTTTTATGCGTTCATACGAAGAATGAATACGTTTAATACAGTTATAAATTTGTTTCTACTACTGCAACATAGGTGCCGCTCCGCGAACTTTTCAACCAACCTAGTATATATATATATATATATATATATGTGTGTGTGTGTATATATATATATATATATATATATATATATATATATATATATATATATATATATATATATATATATATATATATATATTAGGGTTATTCAAAAATAGGTCATGTCAAAATTTTGATTAGAGGCCTAGCTTATGATCTGCCCTGAACCCAAAGTAGTACCTTAAAATTTTTAACACAAATTTTTTTGAGCATTGTAAAGGTCCCCACAGAAGGTAAAAGGGTCAATTTTTTCCCCTTTTTTAGGAAAACTTTACCCCGCTTGTAGGACCTTTTAATCTCAGCCAATTTAAAAATTCAACTATCTAATAACATTCTAATGAGTTTTTCTACTTAAGTTTTAGGGGTTCTCTTCATAATTATTTATTTTGGTAACTTTATGAGCGATAAAAAAACATTGAAAATCACCAAAATAATACAATATTTGTTTAAAAACAATAAACGCTGCATTTTTTTTATAAACAAAGAATAATAGTACCAGTTCAAAACAAAAATAAAAAATTTACAATTCGTTCAAAACAATATGAATCAAAAAGTTGATATTAAATAATACTATTTAGTGCAGCTTTGGCAAGATCCAAAATTTTATTCTTCTATTTCGATTTCTCTAGTACACATGAGTAAAAAGAAATGTATCCTGTCTTTTCTCATCAGAATGTACTTTGTTAACAAGTTGTTGAACTAACTTGACTGTTCTCTCTGAACGATCATTCACAACATCAAGATTTATAATGGCTGTTTCAAAATCTTAGCCATGTCGCCACGTTCTTGACATTTCTTATCTGCAATTGCTAAAATGACTAAATATGGTACCAAGTATGTCGTTGTATGGATTTAGAAACAGCTTGAGCGCCAGCTTTATTCCCTTTCTCGAATCTTTTCATCTGCCATAATGCTTCCATGTCCTAATAGTTAAAGCTTAGATTTATCAACATTTAAATTATAAAAATAGTATACCTATTTTATGCATTTATTCAAAATTATATATTTTTTTCAAACTACTATTCAGATAGTGTACCTGTGTCGGAGTAGCTGAACTTAACTTGGCTCTGAGAAACTACTCAGTGTAAAAATAGAAAGAAATTTTGTCATTTCAGTGATTTCATCCCTGCTCTCTTTATTGATTTCAGGAAGTCTTTCCATGAGTAGAAATAGTTTTAAGTAAAATAAACTTTTACCCATAAATCTGGCATGGTAAACAGCTCCAGGATTGTGAAGTTTGAATTTGTCGATGGGTGGTAGTACCATCAAAGTAAGTTCAGCCAATTCTTGATAATCTTTACGATACTTTCCATCCTAAACAATATTTATTAACAATTAATGATAACTTAAATAACTTAAAACAAAATTAAAGTTCAGATAAAACTGGAAAATTATAAGTAAAGTACTGTTTTACTCTATTATTTTTTTGAAATTGTAAGAAATAATTAAATTTAATTGAATTATTTATAAAGATTTTAATAAAACCATTTATTACTCTCACCTTTTTAAAAACTTTAGTGCTAATTATATATTAATTATATAAATTAATTTGCATTCAGCTTTTGTTCATTAATCCAGGAACCAATCGGAGTTGATATTCTTTTCAAATCTTTCTCTTCAGTATCTAGATCATTCCAATGGTTTTTAAGAAATTTGAATAATTTATTGTCTGGCCCTGAAGTATGACTGCTTGGATAAAGCTCCCAAAAATGGGTAACATAACGCTCACAAATATGACGTCGACATGCAGTTAACAACATAGGGCGCTGTAAGTGCATAATTATTCTGCTACAAGCTCCTTTTATTTTACTTATGTTAGCGCTGGTGGTATCAAAGCAAAGACACTCAACTTTATCATCTAATTCAAAGTTAAAAATGGGGTCTTTTATAGCTTCTTTTTGGTGTTCTCCAGAACTGGAATCAATAGATGGAACTCCAAGTAACTTGATTTGTCCTTTAATTCTAGCAAGAACAGCTAGCCTAATCTTTTGAAAACTGTTTTTCTTCAGTAAGTTATTTGACATTGTTTCCATCAAAATAAATTGTTATTAAAGAATTTGAATATTTAGAAATTCTTTCTATATGGTCTCTGATTTCATTTGCACCCATAAACATAGCGTTCTCTGCTGCTCTGTATGAAGATGAGTTTGAGCATACAAAATCAGACGTGCATCCTCCAGAATTGACTAAAGTACTGCAAAGAATCGCTGCGTGTTGATGTGGAATTAAACCCTCTCCAACTGCTGTGTGAGCAGTACGGTGCAAGATGTCCTTGAGTAGGTTAACAGAACTAGGATCAATATGCGTCTCAATTTCAAAATTACTATCAGTTGAAATACTTTTATTGGTATTAAGAGAACTTGATGAAGTTTTAGAATCTGCATCCGATACATTGTCTAACTTACTATAATTACATTTAGGTTTATGATTTCTTTTTATTGAGTACTGAAATCTTTTATCCAAACCCCCTAACCTTGCTTTCCTTTCCTTTAACTGGTCTTAAAGGAAAGCTATGTCTTCCTCTTTGTCATTTTGTTTTCTCAATCTATCTTTCCATATTTTTTCAATCATATTTATTGGGTTTTTCTCCAATCCAGAAAACCTTTTTTATATTTTCAATAAAGTTTTTTTCTCTTTTTCAGCAGGGTTGTTTCTTTTACTTAAGCTTTTCAGCTTCATCCAGTCCTTCACCATTTTTTCTACTTTTATCCTATAAAATGAAATTATTATTATTAAGTGCTTAAAGTGCTTAAAAATATATTTTGGCTTTTTTATAAGTTATAAAGTTTGATTTATTATTACCTTAGCTTTTGGGTTGTAATGACTTCAATTTTATTCTTTACACAAAACAAATTTTGTCAAAAAATTATCTTTTCGAATATAGAATTATTAAAAAAACTGTAAAAATATAAGATATTTTGATCTAAAAACCCGCTTTTTAAATATAAATTAAAAAAAGAGCCCTTTAAACTTAAGTATAAGAACTTATTACCATATTAATGGATAATTTATTTTTTAAATTGGAAGAGATTTAAAGGGTCCTACAAGCGGGGCAAAGTTTTTCTAAATAAGGGGCAAAAATCGACCCTTTTACCCTATGTGGGGACCTTTTCAATACTCGAAAAAATTTAAGTACTAATTTAAGTACTAATTTGGGGTCAGGGCAGATCATAAGCTTGGGCACTTATCAAAATTTTGACATGACCTGTTTTTGAATAACCCTAATATATATATATATATATATATATATATATATATATATATATATATATATATATATATATATATATATATATATATATATATATATATATATATATATCTGTGTGTGTGTATATATAGGGGAAGTGGGGGCATAACCGCCCCCGTATTGTTTGGGTTAATGTTATATATAAAAAAAAAAAGCGAAATGTGTCTTTTTGACAGTTTATTTCAATAACCACATTATGAAACTTTAAATTGCTGCAATTAGGAAAAAAATAAAACCGTTTTTGAAAATATTATTACACAAAAAGTAAACTTAATAAAAAAAACGGTTTTGCCTCCATTGTGAAGCACAACCGCACCCTTACAACATATATATATATATATATATATATATATATATATATATATATATATATATATATATATATATATATATATATATATATATATATATATATATATATATATATATATATATATATATATATATATATATCCCAAAAATTTGTGTTGTAATTTAAAAATCAACCAATAAAAAATTATACTTAAGCTATTTGCGCATTGTATGAAATATTAAAATTGATTTTTATTTAGGGGGAAACTTTAAGGAATTATTTGTTAAAAAACTTAGGTGTTTTAAATTAGAAATTAATTAATGGATAATACAAAAAATAATAAAAAATACATATTTTAAAATAAGTTAGTAGAGTTTGTTTTGTTTTGTTTTGAGATTACTATAAAAATTTTAAATTAGTTTTTATATTTTTAAACTCCCCTGTCTTTAATTTTGTATACATATCTGCTAAAGAGTTTAGCATTTGAAAGCATTTAGTTTATAAGAAAATATTGAATAAGATTTAAATAAGATATTAAAGTATTTTAAATCTTATTTAGCAATTTCTTATATTTAAAATATATGATCACTGCTAAATTCCTTTAGGCTGTTGTAATTTGGGGTTGTTTTATTTTTCTAGTTTTGTCTGATAATTTATAAAATTAATTAAAGTATTAAAGTTAAAATCTTAATTTTTAATAATAATAAAAATAATAATGATAAAAATTTAATTTATTTTTTATTGAATAACAGCTATTAAGTTAAGTGATAAAAACAGAGTTTAAGTTTTTAAAAAGCTACAAATTTAAAGACCAGAAGCATTTCCAGATATTGTAATTTGCGATCACTTATTGTTAACCTTGATATATATGTAAAAATTATTTTGGTATAAATATTTACGAGGATGCTTTAGCAAATTCCTTCTGAATTCTTTATTGGAAATAAATCGAGATGCAATTTGTTTGGCTGCTTTGGCATCTTTTGTTGATTGAAGATTGAACATTTTTCTGAACTTTGTTAGAGAGCATTGGTAGGGCAAACATTTTCAAGGGTTGAGACATTCTGAATCTAAATAATTATTAAACAAATATGTTTATTCCTAAGATTAAGGAAGTTTCAAATCATTAAAATTTACTAATTTAAAACCATGTTTTAACAGTAAACAAACTGTTAAATGACAAAGACAGAACTAAAAAAAAGAATATAAGAATATGGAAAAGTATAAAGGCTTAAATTTATAAGAAAAACAACAACATAAAATCCCTTAAGTTTAAGACTTCTACAAATAATTACTATAAAAACTTAATAAAATTTAAATTGATAAATTAATGTATTGACTAATATTAAACTATGATAATCATTTACAAAGACATTATTTGTGTGTCATTTATTAAAAGAGTTAATTTTAAAACTATTAGATATTGTTCTTTAACAAATAAGTTCTTTATCTATGCAGTTTAAGTGTCATTAATAAATTATAGTGATATCAAAGTAACAAATGTGTTGGTAAGTAACTATTATTTATAACTATCATATGCATTTCAATATTATTTTAAATCACATTCTTTTTTTTTAGAAAACTTTCTTAAAACAGTTTTAGCAAGTATATATCAAATGCAGGTCACCACAGAACAAAAAAAAAAAAAGGAAAAAAAAAAATATATTAATCATTAAAACAACAACTTTAGTTTATAAAAGTTCACTGTACTTTTTCCTTAATCATTTTACACATTAAACAAGTGAATTAACAAAACTTACCTGTGATTTCATACTGAATTATCTTGCTGCTGGGGGCTTCAGTACATTCATAGACTTACTTAGTACATACATCGACTAGCCTGGTTCTGCAAAGGAGTGCCACTACATCAACCGGGGTTGAACAGCAACCTTTTCTTTTATTAATCTTTAATTTTTTCTTCTTTTTCTGAAAAAACTAATCTAGAATGTAATCAAATGTATATTTATATATGCTCTAGTGAAATTTATTACCATAATATTTTTAAATTATTTATAGAAAATAGCATCCTATTGTTTAACAGAACCAGGTAAGTTTTGATTTTTGAATATTTTAGTAGTTATTTCTTATTTCATTTTTTTAATTGCCACATATTAACATTTTGTCCATTTCTTTCCTTTAAAAAGTTAAAAGTTTTATGTTTTCTATAGTTAGAAGTATAGAAGTAGCAATATTAGAAGTATAGAAGTAGCAATATTAGGAAGATACTATTGAGGAGTAATAAAGTAAGAAAATAATAAAAGAGATATTAACAATCTTTATCAGTACATAAAAGACTTTCAATGACTATACATGACCTGTAGCAATGACTGTACACAACCTGTAGCAATGTTAAACTGTAAGTTGTAAGGTTTAAGCAGTTATAGAAGTTTTTTAATGAACAAAAACATTGTAGGTTGCTTACAAATAAAGTGAAGTTAAATAGGAAATTTTAGAAATTTTTCTTACAGTAAAATCTTGAAGGAATGTTACGAAGCTAACATCTCTTCTTTAAATTATAATATTTCATGAAAAATATTTAAATTAATTTTACATTAGTATATTCCAAAAATAGTAATAAGTTAGTATTTAAATTTAAAATATTTTTTCAGATTCTGGAAGTGATGCGTCTTCATTATCAACAAATGCAAGACAAGATGGAGACCATTACATTTTGAATGGTTCAAAAGTATGTTATATAAATTATTGATTTTTAAAAAAAATCTTGATACTGTTTTAACAGAAAAATAAAATTTTCTTCTATATTTTTTATTTACGTTGATTTGTCTTTTGTTAACTTGTTTGGAGCCTCTGCCCCAGCCCCTGTTCTTCCTGCAGCTCTCATATTACTTTGCTTAAATTATTGCAAAATTTAGATAAGTTACATTTTTTTTAGATGTTTATTAGTGGTGCTGGAGAGTCAGATATTTATGCAATCATGGCAAGGAGTGGCGGACCCGGTTTGTTTAACTTAGATTGGTTTATCAAAAAAGTTTATCATTAAAAATATCATAAATGTATGATATTAATTGTTATTTTATAGGTTCCAAAGGAATAACATGTTTTCTTGTAGAAAAGGGTACTGCTGGTTTAGAGTTTGGCAAAAAGGAAAAAAAGGTTTTTCTAAAATTGTTATTGAAAGCAAATTATTATTGTGAAATGAAAAATAAAAACATAAAAAACATGTAGCAAACATTTTTTTTGAACTTCAGTTTTAATTTGAAACATTTTTATATTTATTAATTAGTTAGTCAATTACTTAGTCAATTTCATTTAAGATTAAATTAAAATTCAATTTTTTTAAGTTTTTAATTTTAGGTTGGTTGGAACAGTCAACCAACACGCTCTGTAATTTTAGACAATTGCAAAGTACCTGCTAAAAATATAATTGGTCAAAGAGGACAGGTATAGTTAAAAAATTATTATATCCTTAAATTTTCAGTGTTAATCTATGCACGATCCTTTCATTGTTTATCAAAAGTTGGTTATTTTAGCGATTGTTGCAGTAATTGCTAAAGTCTTTGATATCTGATACAAATTAAAACATGGTTTATTTATTCAATATTAGTGATTATATTAATTATATTGCAACAAAAGCTAAGCTGTTAAGGTTGTTTAAAACTGTTTAGGTTGTTTTTCTGTAGTTATTAAAATACTTGTTATTTGATTAATTTACTGATTATTTAATCAAATGACTAGTAATTTATTTGTTTTACCGGTTTAAAATACTGGTTTAAAATAAAAATACCAATCATAACAATACTGATCATTTAAATTGCACCTTTTTTTATTGTTTATTTTTTTACTTGGTGTTAATGTTAACTAGCATAATGAAGAGTGGTGCTAAAAATTTGCAGGTACTACTTGCTTAAACATTTAATTAGTAAAAGCACCCTTTTTTTTAATAAAATAGCAGTAGTGTTTTTTTTTTTAAATATGGGCATATATATTAGTTAAGTTAATTTTGATTTTAACAGAATTATTTTATATGTTTTTTTTTTATGTCATCCACATTAACTCAATTTAAATAATAAACTATAATATTATAACATTGTGATGATTGTTATGGTATGTTGCGGAAAGTTTGTGAGTAGGAATTCTACACTGCGTACACAATAATTAAATAATAATAATAAAACAAACTAATAATAAGTATATAATTTTTTCTTTTTTGTTTTAAATTTTTCAGGGATTTAACATTGCAATGAATGCATTAAATGGTGGAAGAATTAGTATTGGTGAGCTCCAAAATCTTTTTTGTTTTTCATTCATTCAAAGAGTTTTTGAAATAATTAGTCATATTTATGTTTAGAAGAGCTGAATTTGAAATTAAATACCTTACAATAACTTTCAGTACTCTATGATTTACTTAACTCTTTCACTACCGCGCCACACTTTTTACTTATGGCACTGTACTTTTTACTTACCGCACCGCACCTTTTACTTACCGCACCACACTTTTTAACTCTTTCACTACCGCAAGGCATTAGTAGCTGCTTTCAAGTATGCTTGATGATTTATCCTTTTTGTTCATAAATTTTCATTCTAGACATATAGTTTGTTTGTGCTTAAAGTTTAATTAATTCTCTACATAATCAAGAACAAATAAGAGCCATATTGTGTAATTATAGAAGTTATCACTTGACAAAGTTAAAAAATCTCAAAAAAATCTTTGATAAAAAAATAACTTCTTTAAATTTAGTTCTAAAATTTAGTTCTAAAATAAAGCAGCGTTAACACTGTAAAATTTTTTTTTTTTTTTTTTTAGCATCATGTTCGTTAGGTGCAGCACAAAAATCGCTAGATTTGGCTTTAGATTATGTTAAATCTAGAAAGCAATTTGGCAAACCATTAGCTGATTTTCAGGTAGCTTTACTTTTTGAAAATGAACTAAGTTTACCTTTATACATTTCAATATAATAATATATATATATATATATATATATATATATATATATATATATATATATATATATATATATATATATATATATATATATATATATATATATATATATATATACACACATACATCCACTTCTTTCTCCATGCAGCGGCCTTGTTCATCAAGGTTCCTGTCTTTGAGTTATAGAGTTGAGAGAGGGTTATAACCACAAGTAGCCTCCTCATTTGTAGTGGCCTTCTTGGCCTTGGGAAGGTGAGTTTTAACAAAAAAAATAGGTGTGCAATATTTTATAATATTATTAAAATTTTTAATATTCAAGAGTTTCCTGAGTTAAAAAGTTTGAGAAATAAGGTTAAACAGTTAATGAAATAATTGAATAAAAAGGTCATTTATTTTGAGAAATAAATGTTTATAAATATTGCTCCTATTTTGATAGGGCAGATGGTTTGAAAGATTTGATTGTACAACAGAATGAAGTAATTTCATGACGAAAAAAGTTTGAAAAACTTAAAGGGAAAATTTTATTGATAGATTGTTGTTTTTTCCAACATTTGATTAATTACAATAGTAACAATTGTTATTTATGTTTCTCTATGTTTACTAATATTTGTGAATATTTAAAATCTTGACAATATTTGAATTTTGATAAGAATAATTTTTTCTAAATTTATAAAAGGCAGCAATAATCATTAGATATTTTTTCAAGGTTTCAAAAATTAAATTTTTCTATAAAAACTTTGATTATATTAAAATTTGATTTTTGATTTCATCAAAAACTTTAATTAAATATTGGAGCATTTGATCAAGTTGTGTTGTTCAAAATCTTTAAAATGTTTACAATTTTTGGTTTTCAATAGTTTACCACTTATCATTTATATTTTATCACTTTTTAAAAAGATGTTTTTATGTTTAAAAACACTTTTTTGAAGCCTGCAGTTT